CCAAAAATGTTTAATGTTTAATATTTAATGATAAACATTGGTCCATATAAGCGCTGCAGCATAAAAATCAAGTGTATAGAATTTTAATCGCATAGCCCTATTGTTTAGATCCCGCCATATACAAAAAACAAACCATTTTATGGCGACAAAGTAATAAAATCTTTAACAAATAAAAAAAGTTTGATAAATTCTGGACCACGTTAGTTGACGTTCGGAGGATCCTTTAATATTAGGTTTACTTACTTACTTGAAAGTAAACCTTTACATGAAAATAATAAACAATGTTTGGTGTATTATTACGAAAATGAATAAAAGGCTGTATTAGGCGAATCGATGTAGGGTTTCTCACTGCCAACTTGGGCTGACTACATACTTCTTACCTCTTCCACAACTGCTGCTTACCTGCTGCAGCACATGGAGAGGGTTAAGAAAAGTAGGCATCATATTTGAGAATTGGCAAACTTCCATCTAATGTTAGGAAAAGGCAAGAAGACAATTTTTGGTGCATCTTTCTTTTCATACGTAAGAATTGTAAAATTAATAAATTACTTGATTTTTTTTAAATAATTCAATAATTTAAGTTAATTTTTTATAGACATAAGGCGATATTATCTCTGAAATGAGCTGAGAAAGTCTTTATGAACAACACCGACATCTTACTTTTAAATACAAGTTTTATGCTTTGATTGACGCGCGCAATATTTCCTAACAAAGAAATCTTTAGAAAATTTCTGTCTTTCCCGACTTGAGTACTGAACTACTTAACTATTATTAATGGGTTTTGCAAAACAAATATGCTATTATGGGATACCCTAGTTAAGAATAAATAAAAAATCTATATTTAGCATAATTGAAACCTTCGATATTCAGTTCGTGATTGTTTAAGGATAAATGGCATAATAATTTCGAAATTTACCAGTATATTCAAGCCCATGATCGAATATGAAAAAGTCATCTCAATTCAAATAATATATACATATATATATATGTACGACCTTGATCGAGTATGAAAACGTTATATCAATCCAAACGAACGCATATGAAGCAGAGTGTCCGTAACAGCGCTATTAGGCGGCCTCTGTTCCCTCATTCAATCACGGCAAAGTCTTGGGCAGCCGAAAGAAATCGTGGCGGTATCGGCTTCGGTGATGATAAACGTACGCGCTGCGTCTAAAAATTGTTGTACCAGAACGGTGCTGAACAATAGTCGAATTCAGATTCGATAGACACTAGACTAGGCTATGAACGTAAATCCAGGAAAAGCTTAGCATAGCGTGAATGCCACGTCCGCTCAAAATGAAACAAAATCACCGATAAGATGACTGCAATAGCAAAATTGTATTGGTAGAGGTCCGATCTGGTGCCACACCCCCCGATTTTCTCCAAAACTAATCCCCACCGATTATTGAAAGAATAGGAAAAGGATTTTGATCAAAACCTGATATGGATGTCGAAAATGTAGCATATTTTAAGGATTCTGATAAATCCTCCTTTAGCAAAAGTTGCAAAAAGTTGGAAAAATGTTGTACGAATTGTATCGTTCTTGAAGGAGATCACCTTAAGGAATAAAGTCGGATTTGGAAAGACAAGATTTCTTTTCATTGCTTAGACAGAAAATTTTTCATAAATTTCGGGCTTATGCGGGTGATGTAAAATATTCATAGCAACACTCAGGTGAACACAGGATTGCTATCAAATTTTCAATCAATACTTTCAACAATTTCTAAATAGTATTTTTTTTTTTTTGCGACAACAGACACGGATGAATCGCTACAGCATTTTACGCGGATCGAAAATATGTGCAAATTGGTTAACGTGTAAGGAAAAATTTATTATTTTCACCTTCTTCAGCGTCAGGTATATAGAAAAAAAAAAAAAAAAAAGTCTGTTTTTTAAAATTTAATGATAAATAAGTTCCAATTATAAAGTAAAATGTGCAGCAAAAATATTAATCATTGTCACTTACTATATCGAGATATTTGATAGTGAATGGAGCACGCTTAATGTCAAAAACAGATTATAACAACAACAACAAAAAAAAACATCAACAACAAACACATCTTTTAATTTATATAAGCGTAAGCAGCCGGAGTTTCAATGAACTTTAAACACACACAATTCTTTGTAAAGAAAAATAAAAAGAAAACCAAAAACATATATATGCACTGAAGAATGCTGTTCGATTAACAACCGCACTACTTTAAAAAGTGTTTTTAAAAATATATTAGAAAAGTTGTACAATTTCAGCATCCGCAACTAATTTGGGGCGATAACAATAACAATTTCAATTAAAGACAAATATTTTTTTTCTTCAAAAAAAGAAAAAGTTTTTTTCCCCCTCTCTCTCTCTCTCTCTCTCTCTCTCTGTTGTATTAACTACATCGAACAATTCCTGACATAATATTTTTATCGAAATGCTGAACTGTAATATGCAGCTTGAAAAGATCGTTGATCCGTTATACAAGTTCTTTAAAAGCTACAAAACATTTGTACAAATGTGTATGACACATATGCTTAAACTCACGTGTACATCTTAAATTTGTAATTGCATTCTACATGTTTGTAAACAGCAATAACCTTGTATTACGCAATTTTATGTGCAGCCATCTATCTATCTATACACACGTCGTATCAAATCTATTTGTGACGGTTTTTTTTTTTTTTTTGCATTCATACGCTTAAAAACTGAAGCTAACTGAAGTTAACTCTGCGATTCGCTATTAATAAAGTATATACTACGAGTTGATTTAATTGTCTTTTTAACAAATACATGTTACATCTCAAAAACGTTTAAATAAATCAATTTAGAATAGAAATATTAAGAAGGTCAACAAATTAAAAAAAGGATAAGATTTGGTATCTGTTCGTTTCTGCGAAGTAGTATACTAACGAATTAAAACACACAGTAGGTAGATGAATATCTTAGACCGCTTTCGCCAATTACAATACTTGCTGTACGTAATGAAATATCAAAAATTGTACTTCGCTATCATGTAAATGGTTGCTTTTGAAGAGACACTTTCCCTTAAGGGGGACTAAACAATTTAATAAAATAATCGTTTTTTCTCAAGAAAGTTTCCCACCGAATTTCCATGGAAATATTGTATGGGTAGGATTTGATTGTTTGTTGAAAAACTTTTATATTGGAATGGGTATATACTGATCCCATCCCATTCGAATGTTTCACATACATTTAGTACGGCAACATATTATTTTTTATTAATTTTTTTAGACAAATATAAGATATTTCAAACCTTTTTGTTGCGTGGGGAGTGATCTTCAAAGTGATCTGATCTAAATTTTTAACAGCGTTCACACTTGGGGCAGAACACTTCAGCTAACCACAGATTGAACATAAAAATACTTGGATGGACTTCGGACAGATAGACAAACGGTTAAGCTTATATCGAATTAGAAAATGATTCACAGCTGATTGTGCTTATAGGAGATATGTTACGGCTGTTCATACTTGGGCCAGAACACCTCAGTCTTCCGAATTCAACATCTAAACAATGGCTACCCACAGATTAAACACAAAAATACTTGGGTGGACTTCGGACAGATAGACAGACAGACAAACGGAAAAGCTTATATCTAATTAGAAAATGATTCAGATTCATGATTGTTATAACAGTAGATGGTTTATGACTGTTGCATTCATTCACGCCAACTTAATACATCCTCACTATACGTAGCATTCGTTATTATGAGACAGAGTATGATGCGCGGTTTTTCTGATCTATAGAGTTTCATATTTGTTTCCTTACCAACGGGAGGCCGCTGCCATTACAAAATTTTCTTCTCAAAAGGATGCACAAGAAATTATTTAGACATGTGCACTCTTGATCATGAGAAACTAATAAGTTAGCTTAGCTTTGCCCATCTATCGATTACTAAAGGATTATACAAAGTGAGGAATAAACAAGTAAGAAAATTATATTCGACTAGGCACGAATTTCGAATACCCACCACCAATAGAATCTTTGGCGCCCCTTGCCGTTGCTTATTGTCATAAAAAAGTGAAGCGAATAAAATATTTATGTTTGACCTTTTGCTTCAATAAAAGTATTGCTAAAAAAAATTAATCTGCTTCCATCACAACGACCACCGTAATTAATTAGGAATCAACAAGCTTAGCTCTTCGCGTTCTATTTTCCAAGCCCTTTTATATGATACCCATATCGGTGATATTATTAAAAAAAAATTTAATCCACCAAGTCGCGGTGTCTACCATATTTATTTTAGAATTAACGTACTTTTAGGCAGATAATATATCTTCATTTCAGGAATGTACAAAATAGTTTTAAACATTCTGTGTTGTGTGCCTTATGGTAAATAAGCATAAGGTATCAAGAAAGTGAAAAAATAAAATGTAATGTCTTAAAACTGGGCATGGCTCATTTTCCCATTTTTTTACATAAAATAAATGTGGAAATTATTAACCTTCTAACTTTTATAGATACTAAGTAAAGAGCAAAAACCCTCCAAACCCTTAAGAAAAGAATAGTTGCGTACAGTTTACGCTTCACTGTGGGCTTCTGTTCTGACCAATTTGACCCATTTTCTGTACAAACTTGCGTGCAAAAACTTACAATATTTCTACCAAATTTGAAGTCCATATCTTCATTTTTGCCCCTAAGAAATTTCCAACAACAAGCACCACACCGACGGACAGGCATGGCTTGATCAATTCAGAATTTCATGTTGATGAAGAGTATATACTTTGTACGGCCTCCGAAGGTTTCTATAGATTTATATATGTGAAAAATCGTATAATGTATGTATATGTATATATACAAAATTACCCTAAAGATGTTTTTCAATTACATGTATTAAATATTTAAAAAAAAAAAAAATTAAGTTTCATCACTTATATGAATCCAAATTTTTTTCAAATCAATTAATTATACCATTTGTTTTATGAACGTTTCGTTTTCCCATTTTTCTTATTAGGAACGGATGGTATAAAACTAAACTTTTTATCATGATGGCAACGCCACCATTTTGTCTGAAAAGACAAAAAATCGAAAATTTATTAGAGTCGGCTATTTGTTCGTTAGTAATTTTACGTGCGCTGCGGAAAATTAGCTGCTTTAATTTTTAAGAAGATGTCTTTCTTAAATCGCAATCTCAGTCGAACAATCAAGTGAGTAGTATTTATGTTTGTTAGCTAGCGGCTCACAAAAAATAAAAAAATATTGATTACATAAAAAACCATAGCGATAATTATATTAAAATATAAAGGTGTGCGTGTATATATAAAACATTTTTCTTTTCCTATACATTAGAGCGGTCGTGCGCGGCAAGCACACATTACCCAAACTCGAATACGACTATGGTGCGTTGGCTCCAATTATCAGTAAAGATATTTTGGAAGTACATCATGGCAAACATCACCAAACCTATGTTAATAACCTGAATGCAGTGGAAGAGCAAATGACAGAGGCACACAGCAAAAAAGATTTAAATAAAGTGGTTGAACTTTCCAAGAATTATGCTTTCAACTGGGGCGGGCATTTAAATCATTCAATTTATTGGCAAAATCTATCTCCAACCAAATCGGAACCTTCTGCTGAATTGAAGAAAGCCATTGAAGAACAATTTTGCAGTATGGAACAATTCAAAAAGGATTTGTCTGCTTTGTCAGTCGGTGTTCAGGGCTCCGGTTGGGGTTGGTTGGGCTTTAACAAAAAGTCTAAGAAATTACAAATTCTGGCTGTGAGCAATCAAGAACCATTGGAAGCACTTACTGGTAATTTTTTTTTATTTTCTCAAATGTCTATTTTATTTATTTATTTTTGTTTTTCAATTGCATAGGTTTGGTGCCATTATTTACTATAGATGTCTGGGAGCATGCTTACTATTTGCAATATAAGAATGTACGCGCTAAATACGTTGAGGCAATATGGGATATTGCAAATTGGAAAGACATCTCCGATCGTTATGCCAAAGCTCTTTGTAATTAATAGAGGCATACCTTTTAGATGTAATAAGAATTTTGCCTATTTAGAAAAACAATAATACCAGCTTAGGAAATTATCATGTAATACAAACATAAAACGGCTTCTTTAGCAATCATTTGTTTGTTCTTTTCGGTAGAGAGGTTCATATGTCCAACCTATACGATTTAAACATTTTATTCTCACTTCCCGGTACCTTAGAGTTTCAGGGTCATTTTGTTTGTCTTTGCCAATATTGCTTTTGCGCTTGTTATCAAAAGCGAAAGTCGATCAAAACCTTTGGGTTTATTAATTCGGCATTTTTTTGAATTTTTGTAATTGTGATACTGGAAGTTACTATAGCGATGTTCAAACGTAACAATGTTTATATGTAGCTTCTTTTTCAATATTATTATTTATGGTCGAAGTCATTGCAGCAATTAATTGCAGATGTCGTTTTGGAATAAATTCAACTTTAAACTCTTAAGATTCCATTTTACGATCAGTCGTAAGTCGCCTTAAGCAAAAATGCATTACTATACTTAAAATAACTTGACGAAATTGATAATAATTTAAAAGTTAAATCTTTAGAGACGAATGAATATTGAACCCATAGAAAAATAAGCAAACGTATTAACATCTCAGCAAAGAGAATTAACAAAGCAGAGTTACTTAAAACGAATAATGAGAATATGGAAACAATCAAGTAGATCAGGACCAAATTTATATATAAATACATTTTAGTGAAAAGCTTCAATAATCTCATTAAAGGCCATGTTAAAATCCATTTGGTGCACAAATTCTTCCATTTTACCTCTACAACACTTTCCATGAGGCAGAAACAGCGAGAAAGAGGAAAAAGATGTATTGAAATAACTTTCTTTCCAACCTACTAGCGCACACTTTTAAGGGTAAAATGGATAAGATATTTTTATGGTATTTTTTTCAGTGCTCAATTTCTGTGCACCTGGCTACTCTGTGAAAATAATCAAAACAAAAACAACGACAAACATTTAAACAGCTGATGTTTATTTGTAAATTTTTTTTTTTTTTGTATAGTTTCCTATGCAAAAATGATAAGAAAAAAATGTTGTGGAAAATTACCCTTTCCAAATTCAGGACTTGCGCGTTGACTACGGGGATAATAAAAAAAAGAAAAGTTAAAAATGACAGCCGATAAACACATTTACTCGCTAGCAAAAATCAAAGAAAACAAATGCGCATTTTTGATGAATTTTCTAAACTCTAAAGGATTTTCCAGGCTATGCACAGTCAGAACAACGCTGTTCTTTTCGGACTACGGAACGGTTACGGTTATCAACAATACATTACTATAGTTTTTCTCATTAATAATAATTACAAAATGAATTACTTTTCCATTGAAAAGTAAAACCAATTGAGAATTCTAATTTGTGTCAAGCAATATTGAATATAAAAAATAAATCCGTTAGTTAATTATAATATTACTAACTAAATATTTAAAATATCAACTTGAACAAATTTTTAATAATAAAAAATTACAAGAATAATTTTAATTTATTTTAAGTTGATTGTGTGGACTGTTTTTTCTTATTAAAAAACTTGGAAGCAAAAACACAATATTCAATTGCGGGTAAGTCTTTTTTTTATTATACTTTTGAAATTCTTATAAGTCTTTGCTTTTTAATTTTTCATATAACAAAATTGTTCAGCGGTGAAAAATCAATTTTCCTTTGATTTAATGGATGCCCCATCGCACGAACACGACGGCATTTATTTGTCGCTCGTCATGCTTGAGATATGTTGTAATAACATTTTATAAATTCCACATGGGATATGTGTTCGTCTTAGGCAAGGAAAAAAAAAGAAAAGAAGAGCAATATTTAAATTTTGTTTATGTGAAAGCAAAACATTATCATTATAGTTTGTATTATTTTTGTAAGAAAGATGACTAACGTAATGTGAAAAAAGAGAAAAATTGAAAGGATGGCAGAAGTAATATTCGGCTTGAGCCGAAGCTGTTATTATTTACTGTATAAACGACTTTTGAAAATATTAAAATCCATGGTATAATCAGGATATAGACTTACTGGCCGTTAAATTGGCTCAATGTAAACGTATAAGCAAAAAAATAAATAAATGAATAAATACGCACAGTCTCGTATGCATATATATATGCGCATATATATGAACTTATATACCATACTTAGATATGCTTACGTGCTAAACGTAATAACGTTTCTGAAGCAGCAAGATTAATGATGTTTATAAAATCTAATTACATCTTCTGCTTTTGAATAAGAAAACGTATATTTCTAAAGACTTTCGCTTAACTCTTTTTGATAAGGAAAAGAAATTATTTAGGACTTGTAAAGAAAAGATATCACGAGCAAGTATTTCTGTTTGAAGTGATTTGCGAAATTTCTTTACACTAATTGAACTGGCAAGCAAGAAATGAACATAAAGTTTAAGAATTATTGATTCTTCAGGACATCAAAATCCCTATATCTCTTTCATTCGCTCACTTCACAAACTCATATGTACTTTCATCAAGTTTATCTGTTTTAAATGACCTAACATGCATGTTTACGCATGTAGTAGATTGCACAACAATTATTCATGCCTATGTGTCTCCTTCATTTAGTAAATATAAATAATAAAAGACTTTAATACCTCGTTTGACGCCTCCATCTGTGAATATAAATAATAAAACATTTTAATGCTTCTCTTGAAGCAATAATATTCAGGATGCTAGTATTTAAAAAAAAAATAAATAGTGCTCGGAAAATTTCCAAAGGGCAAATACATATATTCTACTATATGTTACATTTTGATGCGAGTGATTCATTTGAATGCTTGAATACGCAGAAGAAGTGTTAATGGTATTGTGGGCGGTCATATTTCTAAAAATAAAATATATCTTAGAAATAAAATGTATTGAATGCATAGAAATGCTGCCGACTATTTTATTGAAAATTGAATGGAAAAGTAATGGAAAAGTACAAGCAGCAATTTTTACTCAGCAAAAACAATAAGTTGCTTACGGGTTTTGTAACATTTGTAGACATTAGAAACTCGAAAAAATTGTAATCCTTCACTAGGGAAAAACTTATTGTTTCATCCCTATAATCATATATTTCGATTAAGTTACACTATATCTAGTGATGCGCTCAATAGTTTTTAGATATGGAAATATATTGAAAAATTTCCATTGAATATAAAGCAATGTACAAAAATCCATAAGCCATAGTATTTTATTTTTAATAAAGAAAAGGATTATATGCATCTGCGGTCGAACCAACAAACAAACAAATTTTCATACTCTATTATATTAGGTGAGCGTGGACGAGTTTCTCTCTTTTCAGAATAAAAGTGGAAATTTTTATATGATATATGTGTTGAACTTTATGAGCAACAACCAAAAAACAGAGACAGTAAAGATTTTTACAATATTTGTTGCAAAAGTGCAAGGGCGTTGTAGGCGTGTCCTTTCGCCGGTTTGAGTTATTTTCCTATTCTTTTGCAAATTTGTCGTCAATCTCTCCATTCTTGCGAAGGGAAGAATGTTTGCTACAGATACTACACGGTTGGCCAGACAGACAGATGAACGGACAGACGTGAATAGGTGCATCCCGAATTAGGAACTGGCCTAGAGTTTATATACTTTGTAATGAGTTTGAAGTTTGCTTTTGCGCGTTCCAAAGGTTTTGAAAAAAAAATGAAATGATTGTACACTATAAAATTGAGTAGGCGTGGCCATTGTTGTAGAGGTACTACAGCATCGCCCATAGAACATATATACACAAAACCAATTATTTATTCGTTTCGAAAAACAGAGATGTCTTCATTTCAAGAACTACTGTAGGCCTGTGTCCCTCGATCGATTTTGCCCATTTTCGATACCAACCAGCGAAGAGCTAATATAAGCTGAATCTCTTTTATGCACTCAATATCGAGGTCCTCATTTTCTTGCTTGTTTATACTAATGCTGATCATTTTCGTACTTATTGAACATAACACCTGGAATGATTATATTTTGTGGGTGAAAGCTAAAAATTGTCGGGTAAGGATAGTCTTGGTTACTAGTGTTCATCTTAACTTTTTTTACTTCCGCAATTTATTTCTATGGTGTAGATAAATTATATTAATAATAGTAATAGACTGGAATTTAAGGAGAAGGAGAATTTTTTAAATATTTTTTGCTATGTGGGCAAACCATAAAACCGCTTTATCCATTTCTTTAATTTAAGGCAATAATTAATAAACTGAACAACCTTCAAAAAAATATTTGAAGAAAACGGGAGGAGTTTAGCAGGCCGAAAGATAAAGCTTGCGAGCTGATTTATTTGTTTAATGCGATGAATATAGTAATAAACACTGGCTGATCAGTCCCCCATCTTCCGCTTATCATCCTATGGGATACAAGTGCCTGTTTCTAACTCATATGATGAGCGTGAAAAATACAGTCAGTAAAGTAGCGATATGACGCTCATCATATATATTTTTAAGAGTCGTAATAACAGATTTATGACGTCGCGTTAGCTATATCCTTCCATATTCAAATGTTAAGCTGTTACTTTTAGTTTATTAACATTAATATATGCAAAGCCTTTTTACTCGTTGCTGTTGTGTCAATGAAACGATTCGATATTCACGCTAAATATTAAAGGAACTTCTAAATATTGCTATGTTTCAGTGATAATTTTTAACTTATATTTTCCTTTAGTTTTATTTTGGCAAACGTGTCGATATATGACAGTCGGATGAGTGCAGATGAACAGAATTAAATCTACACATGAATCTTATCATAACCTATACATCCCTTGTGGTACAGGATATATTCAGAATCACAATCGGAATTGATCTAAGTCTGTTTGTCCGTCCGTCCATGTAAATTTGGGTTCAAGCTACGGGTCGCATTTTAGAGATATTTTAATGAAATTTGGTAGAATGGCGTGTTTTGCTCCAAGAACGAACGCTATTGAAAATGATTCGGATGAGTTCACTTTTTCGATCACTCCCCATATAACTTCACTTTCTAAACAGTCGTTATATGGAAAAAAATTGCAATTTTCCAAATTTCGCGACAAAAGTGCCTAAGTAGCAGTATTTCGGCATTCTCAATTGCACAATACGCACAACTTTTGGACCGGCTGG